GTTTCCTGTCACTGTGGGCTGCAGAGCACAGTAGTACACAGCAGAGTCAGACACTGCAGCAGAGGAGATCTCCAGATGAAACTCCTTTTTTTGATCGTCATGTATAAACTTCATCCTTTCTGTTTTCCCTGAATAGTAGGCGATGAGAAACTCTGGATGTGAATTAGGTTTCTGTTTGTACCAGAAGAAGTAAGTTTCAGAGCCTGAATATTTGCAGGAGAGAGTCACAGTGTCTCCTTCCAAACTCATCACTACATCTTTAGATGGTGTCAGTAAATCCTCAGAGGATCCTGAAAACAACAAAGACATATTTCACCATCATGTTTCTGTATCTTTAAACTTAGTTTATAAAAAGTGAATCAATTCAAACAACATCCAAATATTTCCATGTCCATCATCTCCTTTTACATCTCACTCCATCTTTTGATGACTCACCAGTCTGAAAGGAGACGATCATCATCCAAATGAAAAGCAGCAACATGATTTTCTCTTGGACTGAATGAACAATAGAGAGAACACAGCAGCTCTTCAGCTCCTAAATGAAGCCTTTCATATTCACTGCTGTAGCTCCTCCTCTTGGTGAGCTCTGTTTCCTGTCACTGTTTCCTCATATCTGCAGAGCGCAGAGTCCAACACCCACCAGGAACAAATTTGCTTTATTGCCAGCTATGTGGATCAAGCTCTTGGTTGCAGATGCCTTTGCTGGTTGGGTCAGTGATGAATCAGGTGAGGAGGATTCAAGACTGAGGCGAGAGATAAGAATGTGCACTGAATGTACTCAGCTGCATGAAGAGTAAATAAAACCTGAGGAAGGTCAAAGGTCGTCACTTGTATGTTTAACTACAAACTTGTGATCTGGAATTCTTTCACTGTTTTTTGCCAGTAGCGTGTTATTTACCATAAAGTAATTCAGAGTCATTCATACCACAGTAATCAGAGAGGATCATATATTTGTAAATATATAACTTTCTACAGGACTCACTATAATATCTTTATGTAAAAGTCCGGAGCCTCTGAGCAGTATCCAAGTATTTATAACATTACACAAACCAAAGGTCTCCATCACAGTGTTCATGAAATGCTGGGTTTATCCATCTTCTGGGTGGGTCTACGGAGGAGTTTTGAAGATTTCCCTGTGAGGGAGTTGGTGGTGACCAGAGGGTCTAATTTAATAAACAATATGCCAAATGTTTAACAACTGAATATAATAAAAATTAATTTGTGGCCAGTCAAACAATAATATTAGTTAATTAATAACTTATTCTGGCATTACTTTGTAAGTTTTTAATCAAACTTTATATATTTTAAAAAATATTAGAAATTAGAAAGCACATTTTGTGTTTGTTTGTTCTGAGCTCACCAGATCCAAACTGTAACTCTTTTTATAGGAATCATGTTAAAGTTCAATATAAGAAACGTATTCAGATAATTTCAAAACAGAAAGCTTAAAATTCAAATGATAATATCTGCGATTTTCTTGTTTTCCGTGGATGTAGAAAAAAAATTGATTTCAGCTGGAAACTGATTTGAAACAGAGAGAAATCTTCGACAGCGGAACAGTTAAAGGTAAATGCTCTCTGCCGGAACAACAACCGTGTGACACCAAGCGGAAATAAAGAAAGGAAAGGCGCGTGTGTGAACTGAGCCGAGAGTGTGGGACCGAAAAGAGTCAGCACATCACTGTGGTGTTAGCGGCTTTGCACAGACTCACCGAGCTCTCTGTAATACTTTACATTTATTGATAAGAGAGAGAGAGAGGTGCGTTAACAGTCCCGCTCTGGCGGAGCTTTATCACGTGACACCAGGCGGAAGTAAACAAAAGAAAGGCGCTAATGCCGTTAGCTTTCCTCCTGTGTGACTGAGCAGAGACTCTTCTGTTGTGTTGTTTTATGTGAGCTGTGTCAGTAACAATGCCTTCAGTTCAGTATCTGAGAGAGTTTATCAACGAGCGACTAACTGCTGCTGCTGAACAAATATTCTTGGAGTTTGAAAAAACGATCGTCCAGTACGAGGAAGAGATCGACCGTCAGCGCAGACTGCTGGATATCACCTGGAAACCCGAAAT